TAAGCCTGTGGTACCCGAGCACACATCTGCAGCTATTCGCACCTCTGTAATTCTAAAAGCCTGAGCTTCAGTACCTCCCTCACTTTTAAAAATGGCAATTAATACCACAAAGCCTAAGCATGAACAGAGCAATGTGAGCCAGAACACCTTTAGAAAACGATTTTCAAAGGTATATTGTTACCTTGGGTTGTAAATAAACTGCCTGGAAGAGTTTATTGCATGAGGTTAGTTACAGAAGTGACTTCAACTATCTTAAGAGTCATCTGTCTGTCTGCTTGGCTGGCATGTTGTTTAGAAAATCAGTGTGCTAAGCACTCCCCACTTGGAAGTTAAGCTCCTAAGTCACTGTTGAAAACTGCCTTCAGAGTTGCCCTGAAGCACCTGTACTGTACCTGGGAAAGGAATGCACAAAGGAATGGAGCTGTTAAAAGCAAATGCTCATAACAAACCAGGTCTTTTTATGTTAAAAAGAAATCGTGTGTCTTGTTTAGTGTGCCTTCAGAATGTTAGAAGCTTTTCTGTCTGAAGCAGTCCTGTGAAGTGAACAGGAGGCAAGAAGGAAAGCTCCTTAAAGGCTCAGGCTCTCTTTGAGCTTTCAGTCATAGAAATGTTTTTTGACTGGTGTCTTGTATAAATTAATTTGGTGTCACTTGTGCCAAAAGGACATGTTGGCTCTTGATCTAACTGCTCACGGGCACTTTGGGTACCAGAGAGACAAGAAAGCATCCATCAAATTACAGCAATTAAAAGAAAGAGGCTAAGAGGAGTCTCTCCTTCCTGCCTCCACTTTTCAGCCACAAGAGTTTCTGAAAGAGCTATATTACTGCTCCCCAAAGCTTCCCAGCACTTTCCTACAGTTCAGACCACCCCCAGCACAACTTTGCAATACAGATGTACGGGGTTGAGATGAGATTTCATTAGGCTGGTGGAATCAGGAAGAGGACTTGAGCATGGTTACAGCCCAGGATATACTTGAGAGATTTTTCACTGTGTCTGCACCAAGTTTGAGTTAATCCTGAAACTAATTTGAGATCAAAAGCACAGAGACTTTTGAAATCTTATCTGAATCAGCCTGCCAGATCATTTAAGGCAAACGTTAAGTAAGATCGCTTCGATTATTCCCATCAGCCAATCTTGGTAACTGAGATTGGGCTTTTCAGATCAGGGATTGATCTACTACTATTAGATTAGGGTAGTAAATGGGGTAAATTAACTGGCATGTATTTCTTAATGCTGTGGCTAAGCAGCTGGAAGGTTAGCAGCTCCATGTCTAGACCACAACATGCATAGCTATAGTCTGGATTCACAAGTCCAGGGCTATCATCTCCAGCGTCCAAAGCAATCAGGGTCAGGATTGGAGTTTTGACCCACTGTAGTCTGGGCACAAAAAAATTCTTTCCAGGGGTATTGCCTTTGAGAATAGAGTTATGCCATAGATAAACAATTACCATAACACTCATTGTGATAGCTGAGGGACCACAGGAGATGTTCACTGTGATAGGAGATAGTTATTAAAAATGTTTTGACTGAATCTGCAGTACACCCAGGTGCTGACTGAAATCCTGACAAGATCAGCTCATTAAAAAATGCACCTGTGTACAAGGAGATTGGCTTTCTTTCACCTGCAATGGTTTGTATTAGGAAGAGAATACTTCTGATACCAGTTTGTATATACAGAATTACACAGAGCTTTTTCCTAGCAAAGCATTTTTTTCCCCTTTTCATGATTTGTTTTGGCTTGCAGTCCCCATGATTTAGGGTTCAGGTTCAGTAGGTGGAAGTCGAGACTGGAAATGCGGGGCCAAGTTTCTGGCTCCTGCTTTCTGGTGCCTGCCTCAAGTAAGGTCCCTGGGTATGTCCCTGCCTCTCTTCCCAGACTGTGAAACAACTGTCAAAGCATTTTTCTGTCTTAAAAATGAGTTGAAACTTTTGACTGACTACAGAAGGGAAAAGCCTTTTTTCCTTTTCCCATTTTTAAGCTGTTTAGGACCTATACTTCTTATGCCAATGTTTTCTTTTGGTAATTCCCTCTCTTTCTTGGAGTAACAAGCAAGTTTGAAATTGTTTAAGAAAAAAAAAAAATTAAAAATACCAAATACCAAACTGGATCCTCTGAATTACAGATTTTCAGCTCTCCAAAATACAAAGTCGTGGTTCACACTAGAGCCAGGAGTAGGTATCTTCTTTTTTCCTCGCTGTTTCTGCCCTTTCAGAGAGGACTATATGCATTTTAGAAGAGAACATGGGCCCAGCTATGAGAATTCTTTTGTGTCACTCTGTGGAGGTACCTCAGCCCTCTCTTCAGAGCCTGCTTTTGCAGGAGCCCTGAGCATGCTGGTGGGTTTATAACATCCCCAAATGGAGGCTTAGGGTAAGGCCACCAGATTCCTCAGGAGGGGTCTGAATGCAGATAAAAGGTTGAGGCCCCAACACACCAGGTCACCTCACTTGTAAAAGATGATGAAGGAATCAGTAACATATGTAATTTACAGCATAGCAGTAATAGTGGAACTTTAGAGTGGCTTTCGATTATAGCCTTGAAAGTAATTTCTTTACCTTCTATATATTAAATATGCATAACACTTGCTACAGTACAGGGCTAGAGCAAGACAAGTGATGTGCATTAGATCCAGTACAGCAAACAAGTCTCAGTGTAATGTTGTCATCCATTTATTTTGGGTGCTTATGCTATATGTTAAGCTCCAATAGCCCAGATATGCTTGCCCCTCTTTCCATATATATTTCACGAGTTCACAAGCCATAACTCTTAATAATACCAGCAAATTCTTGAAAAAAAAAAAAAAGGCAGGTTCTTTTGTAAATATAAGCAACATCTGGTTGTGATTGGGGAGGAGATTGGTGTTGGAAGTCATTCTGAGAGGTTTATAATGCTTCTCCTAAAACTGTCTACAAAATCCCCTCCATCTTCTGCCCCAAGGCCTAAGAAAAATCTCTTTCTTTTCCCCTTTGATATCCTGACACTTTCTTTAAGGAAAGCTCTAGTAGGGAACAGTGCTTAAGATGCAAGGCAAAAGTTCTTATCTGTTGCCTCAAGCTATAGCTTTTACCTGCTTAACACCTGTAGTTTGATTGATAACACTTTACAAGACGTGATAAAGACAATTAATGCCATTAGCGATATTCACACAGTAGTAGTAATCTTTGCACAGAGTTACAAGTTCAGTCATTACCAACAGTAGTTTCTATTTTCTGCTGTTAAGCCAATTTATCGGGGTGTGCAAACTTCACTTTGGACATGCAGTCCCAGCACAACTATGACCAGGCACATTCTTGTTTCATGATTAGATCTGCATGAAAATTAAGAGGCAGTACCTCCACTTCCTTTATATTATGAAGTAGCTGTGGACAAACCTGTTGCTGTAATAATGTGAGATAGCAGTTGAGAGATTTTGTGCACAAGCTCAGTATGAAAAATAGTGTCATAGAATCACAGAATGGTTTGAGTTGGAAAGGACCTTAAGATCATCTACTTCCAACCCCCTGCCACCGGCAAGGCTGCCTTACCCTAGACCATGTGGCCCAAGTCTCTGTCCAACCTGGCCTTGAACCCTGCCAGGGATGGAGCATTTACCACCTTTTTAGGCAACGTGTTCCAACGCCTCACCACCCTCACAGTGAATAACTTCTTCCTTATACCCAACCTGAACTTCCCCTGTTTAAGTTTGAACACGTTACCCCTTGTCCTATCACTACAGTCCCTGATGAAGAGTTCCTCTTATTTCTTTCTGTGAGACTTTTCTCAGATGTGACGTACAGCTTGGTGAGATCCTGTGTGGTTTTGCACACCAGCCTTCAGACATCTTTGGGATATGACGGATATCTTGTCAATAGCACAACCCTGTACTTTGTTCTGCAGCTTTCTCACTTCACAGCCCCACATTTTCAGCACTGAAGGAATGCCATACTGGCACAGAGAATCTGGTTTTCCAGCTATCTAGCTTCTTGTGTGGTTACTGTTTGTTTTCACAAAATGAGTGCATGCTGCTCTGTAGTGCTGCAAATGAGTTTTCCCAGGTGCCAGGTAAAACATCAGAGAATCAAACTACTAAAAAAGAAGAATGAAAATGAGAAAGTAGGATCATATTAATGTCCTCTGGGGATGTACAGCCATACCAGCAAGAAAAGGAAATTTCAGCTCAGTGGGTCTGGGAGAGAAGAATAGGCTTGGCCTGCAGAACACCCAGAAGTCGAGGGCTATCACTTGGACTGCTGGTGTTTAAGGACAGTCCTGCCAGATAAGACTTAATAACATTTTACACCTGCCATCCTACAAAGCAAATCAGGGATTGGGATCAGAATCAGGTCCAGGTCCTCTGAGCTTGCCATGCTTGTCTCTTCTTTGATCTTCTTCCAAGGCAGCACCATAGTATCAAATCCCACTCCCAGAAAAGTCCCTGCAACCACAGTGGTTGTCTGTAGAAGGCTACCCCTCTCTGATCAGTTCCCAGGCAAAAGTTATTAATGAAACAAGTGTTCTTACTCATTCCAGGTGAAGTGGCAGGTACCAGCTATCTGGAGCTCTGCCCCAGGAAGCAGGCAGAGGTCTCCCTCCCATCACTCTTTTGCATCTCCAGTGGGGTACAAAGAGGGACAATGTTTGTAAAGCTCTTCCTGACTACCCATTCTGCGGGGAAGCGTTCTAAATTTCTGTATGTGTGTGCTATTTTTAACTATCAACATCAATGATCTTTGTAACTGACAGAAAGTGATGCCTTAAATACCTGTTCAAAAACCAACTTTATTATGATCTTCTCAGCAGGACAGTTGTGCTTTTTATTTCTTCACTTCCATTGCAGAGAGTTGCTAATTAAAGATGTCATGTAGACCCACACAGGAAGGAAAGAATTTCACAAAATATCCTGTTTCCCACCCGTTGGATGGGAATAGAGTGGGGGGAGAGAGAATGAATCAAAGGATGAGCGCAAGAATATAAAGTTAAAACTGCAATAACGACAATAAGGGTTTGTTCTTTTCCACAGGAGCCTGTCCAAAGAAAGGATTCCTGATGGGACATTTCCTGTTCACATTGCTGTCTTTCTCATGAGAATCCAGTCTGAGATCCTGTGCCTCCTTGTGGACTCTGACAGATGGTGGCATCCAACTGGACCCTGACTGAGCAAACAGCCAATGACGTGAGACAGTACTGGTGCTGCTGGAGTGTGAGGCATAATCCACAGCTAGCACTCATGGTACAAGAACTGCAGCAAGAATAAAAATACTTGCATAATTGCTTGTGGCTACGCCAAATGAAAATAATGCAATTGATCTCAAGAATGCAAAGACACTTCAAGAGCTTGATTCCATTTTGGCTAATGCATGTTAAATTATACATGTGGGGTCTGTACCTATGGAAAGATTTCCTGAGAAGTGTTAAGCATATCTGATGTTTATAAAGAATGTTTGAGAATAATTGAAAGATATTTAGTGCTCTCTACCGCTGCACTTGGAATAGCTGTTCTGCCAAGGGTGCTCTTGGCCTAAACTCCTATTCCCATCCATCTTGAGTGAAGAACCCTGTATGAGAAGGTGGATATTGTTAATGATTTTAAATACAAAAAGATCCTCCAAAATTTAGGAAAGATGGATTTCCCTACTCAATAGGAGTCAATTTCCAGGTAGTTGTAGAGAAATAGCCTATAAGCCATTGAGGGGACAAAAAAAATTCCTTTTTCTCCCAAGCAAAATGACCATTTTTTGGAAGTACCTTTTATTCCTGATAAGTTGGCAGAAGCTTTACAGGGAATTGATAAGAGAATGGCAGTACTGTCCTTCAGACTAAGGAATTTGGTACTCTTGTTCGGTGACGGTAATGCCTGCCTGGCTGAGTGCAGCCACTGAAGCCTCTTAGTGCCACATGAATAAATTCAAAGCCTGGTAGGGAGCACAAGGCTGTGTTCTTTCAGAGAAAGCTCTAGAGACAATCTCAGAATGTTTCTTGTGAAATTGAATGTATGCTTGAATTCCTGCTACTGTTAAACTGATACCCATTTCCCTACATTTCATGAAAGACTTTATGTGTTACTAATCTTAGTTGATCCCATTATTAGGTAACAAATGCATATGGTGGAAAATTGCCAGAGACTGGAGTTTCACAAGCATCATCACATGCTGGGGTTTCCAGTTTTGTCCCTAATGACAATGGCCAGAAAGCTGTCGCCTTTGCAGAAGCAGAGACTTGGCCATGTACTTTTACAACAGGTGTGAGTTTGGGGTTTTTTAAGACACATACAAATACAAAAATCAAAATACTCAAAGGCAATGTAGAACATAACTTCTTACAATTTTCTGCATTTCTGAGGTGATTTGATATACTCATTACACAATGGCAGCAACATAGGCAAGCAGGTTAAAATACATTCAAAAGCTCTCTATTACATCTCAAAAAATCACCACGGGAAAACTAACAGTTTGTTTGGAAATGGGTAGAGGTAACTCAGAACAAATTTTTCTTATTCCATTGGAAATGGGTAGAGGTAACTCAGAACAAATTTTTCTTATTCCAGAATCACTCTCCGGCCACTTGTTCAGGACAGTTGTTCAGCAATAGCTGCAGAACAGCTGTACTAAGATAATACCCCTAGAGGTAAACCTGCCACTGGACAGATGAATATTTTTTTTTGATTTCCATATTGTTGGCTAAAACCAGATGGAATATCATACAGTTACATCATATCTGAATATCGTACAGTTGCTCATCATATCTGTGAGTCTCCCATCGCAATCAAGATCTCAAAATGCAAGAGAAGATGCCTGTAGGTTGTGAGAGGTGAGAGCCAGCATTACTAAAGAGAAGTCCTTGTGACTCTGTACTTCACAGTGACAAAATTCACACTTATGCTCCCATACTCATGTATTTTCAGTTCCAAATCCTACTCAGGAAATGTGGTTTAATTTGTGCTTGTTGTTTCTTTCCTAATGACCAATTGTTACTTTTTCACCTGAAATCACTGTTTATATCATTCACTAGTTTATCACCAAGAACACCTGCGTGGGAACTGAAGGTGATAAGGAAATTTTCAATACATCACTGTTTCCTATTAGCAAGGTGTAAGCATGTATAGAAGTCACTATCTGTCTCCTATTTAAGTAAGATAAGGGAATTATAAAATGGGGTGTGTTCTACCTATAGTCAATATGTAAAATCCCACCTGAAGAGATAAACATTTGGAAACTGTAAATTAAATGTAAAACCAATGTCCCAAAAGTGTTTACTAAGGGATTATATCATGCATTTGTGTTCCAGAGCAAATCTTGTTTTATTTTCTTTTTTTTCTATAACCATTATTAATGGCCATACCACAGTGAGGTATTCACTTAACATCACACTTCTTAGGAATTGTGGTTGGGCAGCTTCTGGGTTTTATGCCAGATTAGTGCTTGCAAGGTTGTATGGTTGAATACAAATGTAGGGAGAATCCAAAATATAATAAAGTGGTTCTGGCCAAACGAATCCTGAGTTAACATGAGGGTCATCTTTGTGACTTTACTGCAAGCAGAGTGGAAAGGGGACTTGCCCATTGAAAATACTCATTTGAAAACATCCTGTGCTGAAGATAATACAACTGAGAGGAAGGATGGACTTAATAACAGCACTGGCCTGGGAATCAGGATACCTGTCATGAATTTTCTCAGCTTTTTCTTTCCCTCAGAGATAAAGAGTGCCTAAATAGTACTCAATTCAGTAGCCTCAACTGTTTTGTGAATCTGAAAAGTGTTACGTTCGTAGACACGCTGCTGTCTAACCTGAGGCATTTTCCTACCCCCATATTTTGATATTTTGATTGCAGATATGTAGTCTGACTTTTGAATCTGTTGAATTCCTAGAGCATCTTGCCACTCTTTGAAGAGTTGGTTCTGCTATCTTACTTTCTTGATGCTTCTCAAAATCCACTTTTCCCCTACACACAAGACAAGGCTTCTTAATGGTATAACACAGACCTCCTAGTATGCTACCCCATCACTAGCTGACTTGGAAGACCTCGCCAGTCTTGCTTTGCATGGGTCAAAATTTATCACTGCAATATGTTTCTTGACAGAGACTATACAGAAGTCATGTTTCCTGGGACACAAGAGACTTTTTTCTAGCTTGGAGAAGTTGACTCTGGTTCACTGATCAGTCCTATGTCAAAAAAAAAACCACTTGTTCTGATGCTTTTTGGGAGTCTTCTCATAGCTCCCTTTGTTTCCAGTGTAAGCTACTATCCTCTGGTACCCAAACAGACAAGTCCTTCTGGGTGAGTTTAGATCTCTCTGCCCATGTAAGGCAGCTTCCATTACTAGGAGCTATTTTGCTATATGAAGGAACTTGAGTGTTGCTTCCACAGAACTGAAAAGAGTGGACTTGGCAAGCGCATTGGCTTAATGAGGTCTGCAAACTGTCCTTGAATTCAAGACTCCCATGATGGCAATTGTTGGCACTTTTCAACACAGCAGTCTTTATGTGGGGTAAAATATTCAAAAGTGCTTAAGTGAAGGTCAATAAGACCTAGCTATTAAAATATATAAATAAATAAATAAACCCTGGACCCATAATTAACAGATGTTTGTGGTCCTGCAATAACTGAAACTATTTTAACAGCCCTTTGGTAGAAACCAAATGCTGAAGTAACCCTTTGGTTGAAAAGCAGCATAACTTTGTAGCCTGGTGGGAAGAATCCCTCCCTAAGAATAAGCAACCCCTAGGTTCAGAGAACATCTAATTATATAGACAATCCAAAATAGGACCAACAGAAGGGTGCTTGGAAGCACTTCCACACCCAACACTGTTACCTCAGCAGAGCATCTTGCCTGTGGCAGAATAACCTGCTACTTTGAAGGCAGTGGTTTAGGCTCTGGGCCCTCACCTCTGCTCATTTTCTTACGCATCGCTACCATGTTTGGGACAGCACAAAACAGGCAGAATGGAGGAAAGCTGCACAGCTGGTTGGCTGCCTGGAAAGCCATCCCCTGGTTGTCTCCCTTAACACAAGGGATCGTGGTGAGTGGCATCCCCAGGGAGGGGAGATAGTGGCTTCAAACACCTCAGGAAGACAAAGGACTTATCTCTTGCATCCTGGCTACTGAATAAAAAGGGGGAGAATAACACTCCTTCCTGTGTGAAACCTAGCCTTTTCATTTCCTATGCCTTTACTACATGTACAGAAATTAAGTATTTCATTTCGGGGGTCAGAAGGAGCTTTTCAATGCCAACTGAGGTTTTTATCTTTTTTCATTTAATGCAAAAAATAAGGGGGGAGGGGGGAGTTACATCAGTTGAATCCAAGCTTCCAAAGTATTTTCAGTTTAGCAGTCATGCTGAAAATAAATTCAATTATTCATACAGCCCTACTCTCTTTGCACACAGCAGCAGTAAGATGATACACGACTACATATATTCCACTTTAAGGCATTCACTGACACAGTGGAGTAAGAGAGACTAAGCATGGGAATATATGTTTCAGATTCAGGGCCTGGATTTGTGAGCACATACGATGGGCATAGATGATAGAAATTGAGTACAAATCCCATTTAGATTTGATTTCCTCCTACTGGTAAATCCAGCAGCTTGTGCAGTGTTTCTGATTGTTACTTGATTTAATAGTAACAACCCGGTGTGGGTTACAATGAAAGCTTTCCACAATAAACCTCAGCTCTACTGACCTGACAAGCTTTGACCCAAGTATTAGACTGCTTTCTACTGCAGGCTGTGGAGGTATGATGTAAAACAAGAGAAGCATTTGTCCCTGGGTTGAGCAAATGAAACCCAGTTTATGACAACAAAACTTTTGGACGCTAACTGGCTATCTCATTTATCCTTCTAAACGTAAATGAAAGTCACATGTAAAATATTATTAACAAAACAACTGGCACCTTTGGTTATTTTAAGCCTGGACTCTCCCAAATGCAAATATAAAAAATAATGTTAGAGAGAGAACTGGGTAAGCTAGTCCAAAATCTGGTTTTGTATTTTTTATAGAGATGCCAAGACTGTTTGATCAGCATGGGAGAGCAATTTGTTGACTCACGAACCCAGCTCGCTCCGATTACTGCTTACATAGCACTTTGGAAAGATTGGCCAAATACCTTCAAGTCAAGTACCTTGTTATTATGAACATGAGTGCCAGTAACAAAGAAAAAATAGCCAACATGTCACTGAATAATAAATCACAGAGGCAAATAAATGACTTTTCTAAGAAATGCTCTATTTACATTTCATCACGTGACATGACTTTGCTTACGCTTGTGGATGTGATAACACTTAAAAGAATATTTCCTTTTCAGTGCAGCATCTTGGCATCAATCATCTTAGTGCAACTGCATATTCTGGGATCTGTTTGCAATCAGGCAAACGAAGCGGCAAAGGAGATTTAGCAGCAAGACCAATTTTTAGTTTAAATGATGAAGCTGTGTAGGTAAACATAGCTAGCCTTATTCAGCTGTCATAAACTACCTCCTTCACATGAGCCTTTGGCATAATTACTCATGCAGAACAGGTATTCATCCTCTCTAAGCACCACATGAATGAGGCCATGGTAAAGTTATGCAAAGGGAATATGTATCCAATCTGATAAGAAGTCCCTAATAATTGCTGGTATTTTCCATAATATTAGTTTAGGGCTAGAGCCACAAAAATGGTTTAGGCATGTAAGCTCTGCCTAACTGCCTCATAGGCATTTGCGGCCAATATTTAGATCCTCAAAACCCCTCTTCAGCTACTGCCTAACCCTGGAGGCGTCTGAAGTCTGCAAGTGCCTACGTTCCTGCCAGTGAAATTCCTGAGGTGCCCAAAGGTCTGCTCCTGGGCATGCCTGGGACTGCCTCTGGGTTTTTTTTCTGCCTTTTTTTCCACTCCCTTCTCTTCGTGACCTCAGTAAGTAGACACCCAGCTCACATTTAACCCCTGATGGCATCCATGAATGAGAGCTCTGAGGCACTTCCTTTCAGAAGCCCCAACTTCAGGTCCTCTGCCTGCCAGAGATGGGACATCCGTCCTCATTGTGGTGCTCCAAGCTGAAGGAAAGGATCATCATCTAGTCTAGGGCATCATGAGGGCTCCCCAGACAAGGCTCTGTTGCAGGTTGTATAGACCTGCCTCTCTTAGCTGGGTGAGGGGACATGCCTGGAGCTCTGCCCCTGTCGGTGAGTGTCCCTGTGCACTGCCCTGGGGAACACCCTGGGGTGCCAGGCACAGTGCCAGCTTCAGCAGGGAGGGC